ATTGTATCGGTTCTGTTGTTGGGCTGCAAGTGTTGCGGCACTAACTCTAATATCCGAAGCAATAAACCCTCGATGTCTTGAGTGATACCCGTCTGTCGGACGAGACTGTCATACTCTGGAAGTTCTTCGGGCGCGAAGTAATGATACAATTGTTCACAATATTCCCATTTGAGTGAAATGTGTGGCGATCTGTGAACGTTGGACGACGAGGCAGAGGTCGGGTTCACAGCCCGTCGGACCGGGAAATTGTATAAACACGTGAAGCACCGGAAGATCTCGTCCTCAACGTCCACATCAATGAAATGAGTCAACGCTAACAACAGGAACTGTCCGCTATGTGACGTACAGGTGCCTCGTTTTCCCAGATACTGGTGGCCTAACCTCAAGAATTTAATGATCTGACTCTTGGCATCGGTGGCCACATAGCCCTCGGCTATCAAACCCCAGTATAAACAAATCCACGGCAACACTGAGTGTCCCTCTGCGGCCAATTTGACCAGTTTTACGGCTAACGGATGTTTAAGTCGACCCCTTTTCCCGGTCTCCACACACTTAATGATTGTATTCAAACACTCGCTGTTTAACTCATTTCTGGTGCAGAAAATTTCTATTCCTTTCTGCCATAACTCGGAGCTCACGATCGCGTCGTTTAACAACACTATCTCATCGGACGTCAACTCCGACTCGGGTTTAGACATTAATATTTTGATCAATTGGTCGAAGTTGTGTTCGGCCATCATTTGGGACATATTCTCACGCGATTGCGATTCAATGATTGATTTAATGCCCGCGTATTTGATCACCACTTTATTGGCGGCCATCACTTCAATCTCATTATCGCAGAGAATATCGATGGCGTGATTCAAGAAATCGTTGTCAGTCTCTTTGGTTCCCCTAAGCATCGCTAATCTCACCGAAAATTCGTTGAACTGGTCTTTAACTAGCATTAGTTCCAAAGGAACCAACATTTGTGTCAAAAACAATGTCTCGTTTCGATTGAATTTGAGTTCATTGGCTGTCAAACACATCCATATCTGGTCTAACTCTATGTCGCGGCCGATGACAGTGAGCGGACCGCACGGCAACTCATTGGTCGACCGGTGAATAGCGTAGAGGTCGTGAAAAATGGCCGGAATTATTAGATTCTTGGCGGAACCCAATTCACACAAATAAGCGTTTATCAAGTCATCAATTTTGATGACATTTTGATGCGATTTAATCGCTTTGATTCGCTCTAAGAATGCATTTATTAGATCCAATTCAGTCTTTTCGCACAAATTGATACACCGGTAGGCATTCATTTGTTCTGCGATGGCCTCGGGAGTAATGGGTCGCTCCTCTGGTTTGGATGTCTTCAGCGATTCCGGCAGTAAATCAAGAATACTTTCCGATAGATTTCTTTCGTCAATATCACGACTTTTATTGAGAATATTCTTCACACGACTCGAGCGCCTCTTATCCACAAATTCTGA